GAGGATACTGATGCTGGCCCCAGTGCACATAAATCAGATCTTGGAGCATTAATTTCCTTGGCTAGGGGTTGGGTGCGTGGGTGCACATGAGCTGGCTCCAGGACTCTCCTCTAGCCCCGTTCCCCTATTATATGAAGAACTTCTTATCTTACATGGGCACGGGCACTCTGGATAAAAGACTCCATTTCCCAACCTCCTTTGCCACTTCGTGTGACCATAGAACTGTAAGGAAAGTCTAATCCTTGCTTCATAATAAGAGTACTGAAGTCTTGGAGAAGTTGAAGGGAAGCAGTTTATTTTCGATCTTGCAAAGTCAGATGTCAGCCTAGAGGAGGCTCACTAACGGAGGCTGAGGAAATCTTTATATATCCTAAGACATGACCCCTCCTCTCTCTCTGGGGTCATCAGGAGGCTATGGTCTTATGCACTATCTAGGTCTTATGTTCCTGTCCATCACATTTGCCTTTTGTTCCATGAAAACCATGTGTGGGTTCATCTCTACCATTCCTTCCTGTTTATTTTAGAGCTTATCCTATGCCTCACCTTGCAGAGACACTTGGCTGTGAGTTTTCTACTCTAAACCTCAGGTTTGAGGGTGGGCACTTAGGGAGTAACGAAACCGACAAGCAGGAGTTAAGAGCCTGGTGTTTTCTGTTCGTTTATGGTTGAACCTAAGCAAACTGGAAGCACCTTGAAGGAAGAGCCATCAGCTGTGCTTTCCAACAGAGCCAAGTTCTGGCCCCTAAGATGTGAGCGGCAGAACTTAGTACTACTTTAGGGCATCTCTTTAAAGGAGGGGGCAGCACTCCGCTCTCAGCCTAGGTACTGCTGAACTGGATGGAGAGACACCTTGCCATGGAGATGATGGGGCGATGCAGCAAGGCAGGTTGTGCTGGATCCCAACACACAGGGCTGTGTTAGACAACATACCTGTCTAGACTCTGTGCCTTGGCTGTTATGTTCATCGAGTGCTCTTTCATGGATGAACTATCTCTCCAGCCCCTAAAGGAAGTCTTTTGAAAAGTCACCAGCAGGGTTTTCTTCCAGAATAAAAGACACAAGATGGGCTGGAGAGATGGCTTGGAAGTTAAGAGGGTCTTCCAGAGGTTCTGAGTTCGGTTCTCAGCAACCACATGGTGGCTCACAACCATCTGTAATGAGATCTGGCGCCCTCTTCTGGCCTGCAGGCATACATACCAGCAGAACACTGCATACTCAATGAATAAATAAATTGTTAAAAAAAAATAAAAAGACACTAGAAAGAGGAGCTTGGTGTCATCTGCCTGAGGGACTTCACATCTGTTACTCTGCAGCCATCTTGCTAGATACATTGCTTGCTAGGGCTCTCCTGACCTGATCCACAGAAAGAAGAACAAGGCAGGAAACCATTTTCTCGCAGTCCTGGAGGAAGTCCAAGATGAAGGTATTTTTGAGTTGGTTTCTCCTAAGGCCCCTTTCCTGGCTTTGCAGATCTGGCTTCTCACTGCATCCTCAGGGGGACTTGTCTCTGCACAAATGTTCCCAGTGTCATTTTATATGTGTCAAATCTCTTTCTTTTCTTATGCAGGCCCTTATAACAGTAGGATTTCACTTAATTGCTTCTTATAACTATATATATATATATATATATATATATATATATATATATATATCCTTACATGGTAGCACACAGCCTTAATCTGGAACTTAGGAGACAGATGCAGATGGATCACAGAGTTTGAGGCTAACCTGGTCTACAGAGCGAATTCTAGAACAGTGTCTTAGTTAGGGTTTCTATTGCTGTGAAGAGACACCATGACCATGACAACTCTTATAAAGGAAACATTTAATTGAGGCTGGCTTATATTTTCAGAGGTTTAGTCTATTACCATTATGGTATGACATGGTGACAGGCAGGCAGACATGCTGGAGAAGGGGCTGAGATGCCTACATCTTGACCCACAGGCAACAGGAAGTGGTCTGTCTCACTGAGGGTAGCTTGAGCATAAGAGACCTCAAAACCCAACCCCACAGTGACACACTTTCTCCAACAAGGCCACACCTACTTCAATGAAACCACACCTCCTAATAATGCGTCTCCCTATAAGCTTATGAAAGCCAATTACATTCAAACTACTATAAACAGCCCAGGACTACACAGAGAAACCTTGTCTCAGTGTTGGGGGAAGGGGACTAAGGCTGGAGTTCAGATGGCAGTGTGCTTGCCTAGCATGTGCGAGGCCCTGGGTTCCCTCCCCAGCACCAAGTGTGATCTCTGCACTGTAGGAGGATCAGAACTGCGAGGCCATCTTTGTTTGCAGAGTGAGTTTGAGGCCAGCCAAAGTTATATGAAATCCTATCTTTAAAAATAAAGTTAGTTGAATGTATGTCTTTAATCCCAGCACTCAGGAGGCAGAGGCAGGCAGATCTCTGTGAGTTCGAGGCCAACCTGGTCTACAGAACGAGGTCCAGGACAGGCTCCAAAGCTACAGAGAGAAACCCTGTCTCGAAAAACCAATAAATGAATGAATGTACATATGAATGAATGAATGAAAAATAAATCAAAGTTATATATCCAAATCCTGTCGCATCTTAAAGTACCAGGTTTTGAGTCTTCACTGTGTAAATCTAACGGCACATACAACTTATCTCAGGAAACGAAGTAGAAAACATAAGGACATTGAAGTCATTGTGGAGCTGCTCAGCTAACCAGCCCTGCAAACACTCACGATCAGACTCCTGCTGGGCCACCTGTGGTGGGAAGCGCACAACTCAGGTTCACTTGTGTGCTCAAGCTGCTCCCTCCGCCTAGAGTAAGCTAGCCTGCACTCGCCCTTCAAGGCTGAGCAGGAATGGCTTCTCCCACCAGCTGCTTGCCATATAGCGGGGTTCTTCCAGGTCAGCTGCAGCTGTCACATCTCCCTTCTCTGCCTACGACTCCCAGGCGGCTGATTTAACGGGGGCTAGAGCTTGACCGCCATGCTGATGAGGCTGACAGCTGGGTTTCGCTGGCTCTGCTTACCACATTTTTGATTCACTGACTGTTTTGGTGATGTGTGTTGCCGTTATGTTTCTCTTCCATTTTGTCCCTGCTACAGCTTTCTGAGAAGAGTGCCATTATTATCCCTGCTTTTAACACGTGAGGACTCTGGGGCTCTGAGATGAGGTGTAAATTGCTCAAGGTCATTCGTGATTGAACCCAGGTCCTCTGTCTCTGACTGATTTACTGACACTAAGCACTTAATCTGTTCATGGCTCTGGTGCAGCAGTCAACACAGAGGCTATTTTGTCTTCCTCACTGTCTCCACAACTCTCCTTGTCCTCGTTGAGAATCCAAGCAGTGACATTTGGCCCTATTAGTGATTCTTGGAATAATATAAGGTCCAATTTTACAGTCGGGGAGGCTGAAGCCCAGAGAAAGGGAAGGGCTTGCAAAAGCCAGTTACCGAAGCACCAGGGACACCCATCATGGCCTCCTATCATGACAAGGGTGGGAATTCCAGACTGGCTCAGGGGTCAACAAGCAATTCTGATGCTTAGAACAGAGTCAGGGACAGACTTGCATGTCCTGGTCTCTTTTCATTGGCCCAACAGGCTGAGCGAAGGTCTCGTGTCTTGGTGCTCAGATGTGACTAGCAGATGTAGAAGCTTAGGAGGGAGAGGCTGTGAGTCCTGCACCAAACTGCTTGGACCATTTCCTTTCTGATGTGAGAGAGAAACAGAAATGGCTAGAGCTGGGGGTCTCCTGCAGCTCACACACCCAGAAGCAATGAAAGCCCCGACCTTTCACCAACCCTTTCAAAAGCACCATGCAAAGAGTTCCAAGCCCTGGCACCCGCTCTTTCCTACCTGTGGCCTCATGTCTCTCTTGGCACACCCTGACTACCAAGGTAGAGCTTTGGGGTCACCTTTCCTTGGGTGAGATCCAGAGCTTAAAATGCTCACTGCAGCCAGGGAGAGTTTCAGCATCCAGACCCAGGCACCATGGCAGGTATGCATGGCCCCTCAAATGTTCCTCAGTGTGCTTGGTAAGGCATATAGGATGTGAGTGTCCCAGCAGCACTGGACACTAGACTTCAGGTCCAGCCAAGCTAGAAGCCCTGGGGCCTCATATTCACTATATGGACACACACCTCCAGTATAGAATGTCTGCTGAGCACACCACCTGTGTGACCTTGAGCTAGGACCTACATATGAGCCTGGATTTTTTTTTTTTAAATTTAGATAACAAAAGGCCTAGTTCCCGGATATAGCGAAGAAGAAGAGATGAAAGATGCCAAAAAGACAGTTAAGCAGCCCAGGAGCTATAGATAAGGAGAATTTGGTTATTTATTTATTCATTCATTCTCAGTGCTAAGGCCCAGAACCCAGGGCCTGTAGTCTGCTAGGTTAGCGCTCCACCACTGAGCAACACCGTCATCTCTAGTAGCTGATATTTATTGAGTACTTAATGTGTTACAGCAGCTCTTCTGAGTGGATTTAATCCTAGTTAAGCGACCATAAGGTCAAACTGATTGTGGAAATTGAGACACAAGTGGTTAAGTAAGCAGCAGGCAGCCAGTCCCAGAGGCCCCCATATACCACCTCTCTGAAAAGTAACGATCATCATTATTATTAATTTAATCTTAAATTGCTTGGACACAGTTTGAAGCACTTTCCACCCACTCCCTTGTTTATTTTTCAGGGAGAGGGTGAGGTTTTCTCTTGCTGTAAACAGAGAAGCAGGCAGCAGGTTTCAAAGTCATTCAGCAAAGTTGGTGGCAGACAGGGGATGATCCAAAGGTGATCTCCAGCTTTGGGGAATTTCCTCAGTCTGCTCCAACTGCCAAGCCCTTGGATACCACCTTTGTCTCCCATCCTTAGTTATAGGGACCCAAGGCAGTATTCTCCACCTACCCCAGCCCCCACTGTCAGATGGGAGGGGCAGGAACTCTGGTGCTGGTGGAGTTTCCGACCAGGCAGGAAAAAGAACAAAGGAAGCTAGGGGGGTCTGGCGGGGGTAGCCGGGAGGGTGGCAGGACCAGAGGAACCATTTCACCATGGAATATGAAGCCAAGAAGGGGAAGAAGGTAGGTGGGAGTTTGTGAGGGACAGGGTTGAGAAATTTTCTTGAAGCTGGGGTAGAGAGAGGAGCCGGCACGGAGGTGGCAAAGGCACCAGAGGGACCTTCTGTCTCCTTTGGAAGGATCTGACTTTCTGTCCCTGGCAGCCAGACATCTGGACCCTGTTCTAAACTTTACTTTTAGTGGCCTCTGCCATATTTTCCCGAGAGACAGACGGGGTCTTTCTGGGAAACCTGCTTTCTGGACATCCTGAGGGTAGCTTCCTACTGCTTCTCAAAGAGAGTGACAGACAGACACCCAGCAGACATATTCCCTGCTCTCCCAGATAGAAAGGCCCAGCCAAGGTGATTATGGGCTGGCAGATTGCCCAGCCAGTCTGGGGCTTCCCACCTGCTCCCTGGTTGTCTCCCACCTTGGTGCAGGAACTCACTTCTCAGCCCAAATCATCAAGTCCCCTCCCCATCTTCCTCTTTTCCTGAATTTGAGTCGTTTGTTTTGCTATATCTTATAATTCCAACTCCACTCCATCCCCATCTGCCCAGAGTCCTCTTCACCCAAGAAACCCAGCTCAGAATGTTTTATAAGGTACTCCCATGAGGTCAGTATGATGGCACAGGCCTGTAATCCCAGCTATCTGGAGACTGAGGCAGGAGGATTGCAAGTTTAAGGTCGGTCTGGGATAACTTAGTAAGAACCTGTCTCAAAATTGTGAAAGTGGGCGGTGGTGGCGCACGCCTTTAATCCCAGCACTCGGGAGGCAGAGGCAGGCGGATCTCTGTGAGTTCGAGACCAGCCTGGTCTACAGAACTAGTTCCAGGACAGGCTCCAAAGCCACAGAGAAACCCTGTCTCGAAAAAGAAAAAAAAATTGTGAAAGTGGGCTGGGGGTGTCTCTCCATGGTCAAACACTTGCCTAGCATGCATAAGACCCCAGGTTTGATACCCAAAACTGCAAACTGATAAGAATTTTAAGTGCAAAGAGTGTAGGGAACACAGTTCAGAGGTATTTGTGTATTTTATCCCAGATAAAAATCCCCTGTATGGACACATATGGCCCATGTGAGTCACTGGGGCCAACATATACACATGTCTTCTCTTGGGTCTATGTATTAATTTGCGAGAAAGGGTCTAGCCATGTAACCCAGATGATCTTGAACTCACTACATAGCCCAGGCCGGCCTCAAACTCACAGCAATTCTCCTGCTTCAGGCTCCTGAGTACTAAAACTCACCCAGTAAGGCCTATTATTTTGATAGATGCTTATTGAATACCTGTTCTGTGCTGTGAACTGTGCCTCGTGCTAGGGATGTCAGTCATAAGCAATGCCAAATAAGGCCTCCGCTTCTGGGAGCTCACAGTCTAATGAGGGAAACAACGATTACTTTTTTTCAAGGCGACAAACGGAATTAATGAAAATGTTCCACGAAGCTGCTGTGCTCAGTGCTAGAAGATGCAGCGTTAGGATATATCCAGTCTTAGATTGCTGAGTTGGGCGTATGAGCTGATGGGTACAAGGAAAACAAGTTGGGAAGAGTGTGTGGGGCTAAGGAACAGCATGCTCCATTCATGGTAGGAATTAACCAAGGCCAGCTGGCTTGGGTCTGAAAAAGCATGGGATAAAACCGGACTTGCGGAACATAGCGGACAATGAGGACTACTGAGAACTCAAGAACAATGGCAATGGGTTTTTGATCCACTGCACGTACTGGCTTTGTGGGAGCCTAGGCAGTTTGGATGCTCACCTTACTAGACCTGGATGGAGGTGGGCGGTCCTTGGACTTCCCACAGGTCAGGGAACCCTGATTGCTCTTCAAGCTGAGGAGGGTGGGGGACTTGATCGGGGGAGGGGGAGGGAAATGGGAGGCGGGGGCGGGGAGGAGGCAGAAATCCTTAATAAATAAATAAATTAAAAAAAAAAACCTGAGCAGCTGAAAGATGGGGGCAAGGAGTACTGGATAGTAAGATGGGGGTGGAAGGTGGGACTGGACCACTTGGGGCAAAGACAGACAGACAGGCAGGCAGACAGACACACACACACACACACACCACTCATGGGTACAGGACAGCATCCTAGTTCTAACTAGCTCTGAAGGCTCTCATGGCTTGTCTCTTATAACCCAGCTATGATAGACACATGGCTCTCGGTGCCCTCTGATTCCTCTCCCTCCGCCTCTGAAGTCTCTAGGGTCTTATTCAGCTATGTCCTCTGTTTGGAGAGCTTCTCTCAGATTTCTGGCTCTCATTTCTCAGAGTTTTGAAACACTACTGCAGACTCCATGACAGTCCCTCGGAGACTTGAGTGGTGGTATGTCAGAATCACTCAGAGACCATGGGGTCTCATCTCCAGGCTCCGCCACATGGGTCAAAGGGCAACATGGGAGCTGGGGAGATGGCTCGGTTGACAAAGTGCTTGCTGCACAGTCATGGAGACCCTAACCCATATTTAGAAAAAAAGAAAGAAAGCCAGAGTAGTGGCATACACTTGTAATCCCAGTGTAGGGGACAGAGACAGCAGATCACTGCAGCTCAGTAGCCAACCTGCCTGACCTGCTTGGCAGACAGCTCCCAGTAACACACCTGAGGTCATCCTATGGCCTTCAGAGGTGTGAACGTGACCTGTATACACACACACACACACACACACACACACACACACACACTGAATCAGAATTCTCAAGCACAGTCAAATCTGCCATGTACTAGTTCAGGCCACACGTCATGACCCTGGAAGCAAAACTGGGGTCTAGTGTTTCCCAAATCCCAGCACCCAGCACCCAGCACCCAGCACCCAGCACAGGAATGAATGAATATTTGTTGAATGAACATGTAGTCTAGCACAGGCATGAATGAATATCTGTTGAATGAGCATGCAGTCTTGAATGCACATTCCTAGGTGGCGGCTTCTCTTGTTTGTACTTGTCTTGTGGAGAAGCTAAGCAGCATGGGACTCATGCTACCAGAATTTGTGATTTGCTTGGCTGGGGAATATGTAGTCCTAGCTCCCAGAACTGTAGGAACTGCCAAGACAGTTCTAGGATGCTACCAGGGAGGGGAGCCCCTGGGGCTTCAGATTCAGTACGTCTAGGATGGGACCAGAAAGCAGCACTTCTCAGATTCCCAGGTTTTACTGCTGCTGGTCCAGGGATGCCCATCTAGAACGGCAACTCTGGAGCAAAGTTTACAAATTCTCTAAGCTTTGGGCACTGCTAGGTTGGGCTGTGCCCTGGAATCTGCACCTGTAGCCTTGATCCATCCTGGGCCTTTTTATACTGGTGCCCTTGGATTATACTTCCGCTTACTGATTGCTGATTTCCAACTCACGAACATGCGATAGCTTAACAAACGTCTAGACATGCTCAGGGTAGCGCCGCCGGCCTTGGCGGCTCTTTGAGTCTAGCTGGCAGGAACATCACCCTCCCCGGAAGGTTTGGGAACTGGGATGCCTACCTGGACTGTCACCAGCTGGTATTCAAGCTCTCATTATGGGGCTTCGCTGCTCCAGCTGGGAAAGAGGAGCCGCAGGGCTGCTCCTCCTGCAGGTTTAGAGGGATTAACTTAGGTTGTAGAAGCAGAACTGAGCTCATGCGTGCTCAGTAAAGCCAGCGCTGTTGTCACTGGGACTCTCCTGTCTCCCCCAGGGCTTTGTGTCCCCCATCCGAAGGCTGGTGTTCCCAAAGGCTGCGCGCCAGGCTGCCTTCAGGAGCAATGTCAGTCGCAGGCCCCTGCATTCTATGCCTCTTTATCCTCCCGACTACCTCATCGACCCTCACATTCTGCTGTGTGACTACCTGGAGAAAGAGGTCAAGGTGAGCATGAGAAGGTGGGGGGACCTTGGAGGCACACCAACCCCTGACACACCCTGTTTCATATGAAGGAAGCTGTGGCTCTTGGGGAGCAACCCCCTACCTCACGGCCACAAGCTGCATGGTGTCACCTACCCATGGATCCCCCAGCATTCCTGCTCCCACAGGGAGCTGCGTGGGAAACTGTGCTGTGTTCTCCAAAGCTCAGCCTACTCATGAGATTTTTGTCTGAAGTCTCCACTACTCAGTGTCCAAGTTAAAGGCAAGGGAAAAGCTGGGCATGTGGCTTGGTGGTAGGGCATTCGCCTGGCATTTTGGAGACCCCAGGCTGCATGTCCAGTGCAGGAGGCAGGGCTGGAGGTGGAGTAGGAGGAGAAATCACAGTAGAGGACTTCCTTACTACTCAAAAGCTTTCGTTGTATTTTATTTTATTTTATTTTTTTCGAGACAGGGTTTCTCTGTGGTTTTGGAGCCTGTCCTGGATCTAGCTCTTGTAGACCAGGCTGGTCTCTAACTCATAGAGATCCGCCTGCCTCTGCCTCCCAAGTACTGGGATTAAAGGCATGCGCCACCACCACCCAGCTTCGTTGTATTTTAGAACCACCACAAAGGAGCACTGGGGAGGGAAACAGGTTCTCACAGCCAAAGATTGGTGTGAGGTAGGGTTCAGGCATTCAACAAACAGGCTACTTGATCAAATTTTAATTGCAGATGAGCAGTGATTATTTGTTTTAACAATAAATATGCTCCACATGTTAACTGGAACCAAAGGTACAAAAAAAAAAACAATCCTAAAAACAAAACTGTTGTTTAATTGACATCTAGTATTTTATCTGGCAACCCTATAAATAGAGAAAAGCCAGAAAATGAATGTGTTTTAAAACCAGGAACTGAAAATTTGCAGAATAAAAAGAAAAAATGTGAGTGGTGAGATTATCCCAGAAGACTGCAAGTAAAGTAATAAAATGTTAATTCTTATACTGAATAATAACATTTAAATGACAATGTTGCTATAACTAAGAATGGATGGGGAACTCACATATTGACTGAGACCATCGTTTTTCTTTTTATTTATTCTTCTCTTGTACAATACATCCTATTCAGAACTTCCCCTTCCTCCAATCCTCTCAGTTCCCCACCACCACCTCTCCTCTCCCCCAAATCCACTGCCCCTCTGTTTCCCTTCAGAAAAGAATAGGCCTCCCAGGGATACCAAACAAAGTATAGCAAGATGCAATTAGACTAGATAAGAAGACAAACCCTCATATCAAGGCTGGACGAGGCAACACAGAACAAGTAAACGGTCCCCAAAAGCAAAAGAGCCAGAGATGCCCTCACCTACTCCCACTGTTAGGAGTCCCACAAAAATCCCAGTCTAACTGACCACAGCATGCATGCAGAAGGCCTGGGGTTGACCCTTGGAGGCTCCATGATTGTTGCTTCAGTCTCTGTGGGCCCTACGAGACTTAGGTAGCTGATTCTGTGGGTCGTGTTCTCATAGTGGTCTTGACCCCTCTGGCTCCTACAATCCTTTTTTTTTTTTTTTTTTTTTTGTCAGTACTGTTTTGTTCTACCCCAGGTCCCTGAACTATCCAGTTTCAGGTTCCTGATCATCCAGGCAGTATTGGGCATGTGCTCCCTTTTGTGGTGTGGGCCTCAAGTTAGAGCAGTCATTGGTTGGCAACTCCCACAATAAAGTTTTTTATTACTTTTATTGTTTGTTTGATTGAGACAGAGTCTTTCTGTGAAGCCTTGGCTGTTCTGGAACTTACTCTGAAGACCAAGCTGGCCTCGAACTCACAGAGATCCACCTGTCTCTGCCTCCTGAGTGCTACAATACCACCACCTGGCAAGAGAACATCATTTTTTTTAAAAAAAGAAATGATATATTAATTCAATGCTCCTTTCCATTTAATCTGCAATGAGGTCGCTAGAAAGCTTAATAACACAGGGTGTACGGAGAGCCACTGGGCAAGACAATTCCCAGGGTTCCTTCAAGATTTAATAGTACAGCCTGGGGCAGATGTGGAGAGGGGAATAGTTCAATGGGTAAAATGCTTGCTGGCAAATTTGAGGACCAAAATACCAATCCCCAAACTCTTGTAAAGTCAGATGCACACAAAACATTCACCTATGACCCTTAAAAAACACACAGTCGAGATGGTAAGGGGAGGCGGAGAATCCCTGGAAGCTGAGGAGCCAGCTCTTCTGGCATGTGAAGTATAAAACACACACACACACAGACACACACACACACCGCCTCCGACAATGTGGAAAACAAGAGCTTATCCCTTGACGTCCACACAGGTGCTGTGGCATATGCCTGCACTCACTCACAGGAATATGCACACACATAAACACGAAAGATGGCAGTCTGGCCTAGCAGGTAAAGAAGCTCTAAACCTGATCGCCAGCATGGCAGTGAGGCGGGGCAGGGAACACTACATTAGTGACTTTTGCTTCCTGCAGAACCTCGTAGAGTGAGATGGCCATGTGTTAGTGAACATGAGCTAGCTGTTGGAAGTGGGCTCTGGCGCACGTAATCAATCAAGCCTTCTCCCTACCCCACAGAATCTGATGTCACCCAGGGAGATCTTGAACTTGCTGCATACCCAAAGATGACCTTGGACACTAAAACTTCCTGCTTCTGCCTCCCAAGTGCTGGATTACAAGCGTGTTTCACTACAATCTGGCCAACCTAACCCTTTCTAGCTATAATACTGGACCAGACTTTTAGTTAACTATACTGTGTTGAGTCTTTTAATCTTTAAAATAAAGGTGAATGAATGGGACTGGATGTATTAGCCCAGGTTTTTTAGAGGAACAAGAACAGGGAGGGAGGGAAGGAGAGAGAGAGAGAGGGAGAGAGAGGGGGGGGGGGGGGAGAGAGAGAGGGAGAGAGAGAGAGCTGCCACCAGTGTGACCCAGATTTAAGATGGTCTCTGACTTCAAATGATACAATCAAGAAAACCCTTCACAGGAGTGCGCTGCTGCTTGGGTTTGCATTGATTCCATATGTAGTCAAGATGACAACCAAAATTAGGCATCACACTGGTTATCATTGAGATTTCAGCCTGTCCTGCATTAACAGGGAGGCTAGAATCTCCCAAGGCTTCACGGTGACCTCCCATTTCCCATCCAGTTCCTGGGCCACCTCACCTGGGTGACTTCCTCACTGAACCCCTCCAGCAGAGATGAGCTCCTGCAGCTGCTAGACACCGCCAGGGTGAGGCTCTGCGGAGGAGGGAGGAGGGCAGGGTCCCCTTCCCTTACCCTAGTACCTGGGGGCTCAGGTGATTCGACCCACCCCGCAGCAGCTGAAGGAGTTGCCTCTGAAGACCACGCCGGAGCAGGACAGCATCTTGAGCCTGTCCGCCCGCTGCCTGCTGCTCACCTGGCGGGACAACGAGGAGCTCATCCTGCGCATCCCCACGCACGAGATCGCCGCTGCCTCCTACTTGCAGGACGACGCGCTGCACCTGCTAGTGCTTAAGACTGGTGAGGTGCGGGGGAGGGGAGTGGGAGGCCAACCTGCAGTGCTGGGACCATTGAGTGAAGGGCACCAAGGATGGATCTGAGGCTGGGAGAGGGATGGCAGAAAACCTGAGCACACTATTCTGAGACTAAGGGACGGCAAAAGAAACCATAGGCAAGATCAGAGAGCCGGGGATTGAAGATGATGGTTGGGCAGCCTGACCGGATTAAGGAGGTTGGGTAGGGCGAGGTTGAAGTCCTGAGTTCAACACAGGGCTACCCTTAGTAGAGTTCAATTTAAAGGGGGGGTCATAAAAGACATAACCCCTTGGTTCTGACAGTAGGGGGCACCCTCGGGCTAGGGGAGGATTCTGAACTTGTAGGCTATTTCAGTCAGCAGTTTGGGGGAGGGACTGAAGATAACAGAGAACGTCGCTTTGGAAGGCGGGAATGCTTAGACCAGGGTCACCATTCAAATGAAGGGTACGGAGAAGGGACAGCTTGGTCCACCACCTTCAACTCAGGAAGTAGGTCTAAGAGGAAGAGCACTAGGGTGTGTAGGGGGAGGGGGAGGGGGAGGCGGGAGGGTAGAGGGTGTTGGAGACGACTGTGCTACCGCCACCCTGGAGGTCTGGGACCGAGCCAAGGCTGGAGGCGGAGTCTATAGGCCCAGGGCGGGTCCAGAAAGTCACGAAGTCAGCTCCCGGGCGTGCCGGGCGGAACCTTAGTGCAGGGACCCCAAAACTGTGCGGCGGCCCTCCAGGTGGCCTCCGAAGGCCGCAGTCTCCTGCTGCTGACCTCCCATCTCCGGCCTCCCCTAGGTCTGGGCGTGGACCCGGTGCCTGCTGGCGTGGACGCCAGCCCCGGAGGTTCGGGGCGCGATCCGGGCCCCCCGGGCGCAGCGCCCGAAAAGCGGCGGGTGGGCACGGCGGAGCGGCGCCACACCATCTGCAGCCTGGACTGGCGCGTGGCGTGGGGAGGGGGCGCCGGCGCCGAGGCCCGGGCGGCGGGCGGTGGCGGCAGCCTGGAGCGGCAGCGCGCCGGAGCTCGGGCATCAGGCAGCTGGGAGCGGCGACAGACGTTCAGCGGCAGCTGGGAGCGGCGGCACGCGGGCGGCGGCGCGGGCAAGCCGGGCGGCAGCTGGGAGCGGCGGCAGGCGGGTGGCGGCGTAGGCGGCAGCTGGGAGCGACGCCACCCAGGCCCCAACCCGCTGGATCCCCAAAACCCGAGCCCCGACGCCTACTGCAACCTGGTCATCCTTGCTGTGGCCAACAGGGTGAGCGCGAGGCAGTGTTGGTACTACTATACACTATCAGTCAAAATCGCACTAATCACAACACCCACAAGTGAAGCACCCACTCAAGACAGGCATGGGGCACCACTAACACTTTATCCCCACAGCAGCCCCTAGGGCAAATACACCTGTTCCCATTCCTTAGGGAAGGATGCAGGCTCAAAGTTTAGGCCCTGCGGAAAGCACATGACTTCAAGATTAGAACGCAGAAAGTTCAAAGCCTTACTTTTAGTAACTAAGGTAGCTACCCAAGGCAGAAGCCCTGCCATCATTCTTGTCTGCCCTGCCTGTCACCTCTCTGTCCCCATTCACCCTTGCTTTCACACATTTGAATATAGGTGTGTGTGTGTGTGTGTGTGTGTGTGTGTGTGTGTGGTTTTTGTTTTTCAAGACAGGGCTCCTCTGTGTAGCCCTGGCTGTCCTGGAACTCTCTCTGTATCTCTGTATACCAAGCTGGCCTCAAACTCATAGAAACTGGCCTGCCTCTGCTTCTGCCTCCTGAGGCCTTCACCACCACTGCTTGGCTGACTTCATAGTGTTTATTGAGTACAGCTGTGTGGTCCACACTGGGCTAGACGTTGTGTGTGTGGAGGTGAGCAAGCCATTGGGTGTTCTCCCTTAAGGAGTACCCAGTCTAGCAGGCACTTTCAAGCCCTGAGCCTTGCAAACATTTCCTCTGTCCCAGGGCCCTGGGCCCTCTCTGGACAATGAGTGTGCCTGTCTGCAGGGAGAGGTGGCCAGTCCCTGGAGCAGTACAGTGGCTCAGGTCCCCACGCTGAGATACCTTCTCACTTGGCATCTGGCTTCTCCTCTAGTTTCCCCCACTCCTACCGCAAGCTCCTTCTTAGAAGCTGGTACCTCCTTTTCTCTCCAGCCTCTTAAAGTGGGGGTTGTCCAGATGCTATCCTCAATCTGCTCCCCTTATCCACACTTGTTTCTAGGTGATTTAGACCCTGCTGCCTTCTAAAACCCAAAGAACACCCTGAAGTTCGTCTCGAACCAAATCTCCACTCAGCCTGTCTTTTCCAGGGTCTGCTTGTCATTGCAGCAGGAATTTGACCCACACTGAGTTCCCAGTCTCCTCCCAAACCTGAAAGCACCTTCGTCTCCATGTTTCATTAAATGGTAGCTCCATCCTTGGTGGCTCAGGCTGAAACCTTGCAGGGGGCCTTGGTCTTTCTTTCTTTCTTTCTTTCTTTCTTTCTTTCTGTCTCTGCCTCTATCTCTGTCTTACACACACACACACACACACACACACACACTCAATTTACTCTGTCAATAAATCCTCCTGGCCTTGTTTTTAAACATATGCAAATCCTATGCGCCGCACTGCCCATACCCAGCTTCTCTCGCGGGGCTAACGGTGTCTTGCTCCACCCCTTTGGCTCAGACCTTTCTCATTCTGTACTCCACTGCCGCCTCCCACACAGCTTCATCCTGGAGACTTGATTAAGGTGATGAGGACGGGAAAAGGGACAGACAGACACATATACAGTAAAGCTAGGATCTGATGGGTCTTGCTGGCGCTCTGATAGGAGGTGAGTGGTCTGTGTGATAGGGAAGGGAGGAAGATACCCTGTTTCAACAGGAAAACTTAGTTTGTGCTGTTTAAAATGAAATAAGGAGAAGAAACGATCAGTAGAACCAAGGGCCTTCGAATTGGGTCCCAGACAGGCAACAATGTGCCTTAGCTATCCCCTCTACTGTGTGGGCTTTAAGGCTTCGGTCCTGACTGGGTGGTGGAATGAATACATAAATGAGTTGCTTCCCAGGGGCCTGAGCTTCTGGTCTCCTGTCTGAGACACAGCAGTCCCAAGCACACCAATCAGAGCTAAAACTCCTGGTGCCAGCATTAACTATAAAATGGGGGTTCCTATCTAACCTGTTTACTCTAGGGTCATGGTAAGTTTCGGCCTTGGTATTAATATCTGTACCTGCCATGACCATAGATACCCATCCTGAATTACATTTTAGTTTTTGTCTTAGGCTTTTTAGAGGCAGTATATTTATAAGCATGATCTTTTTCGATCATGAGACTATTATAGCATTGCTTCCATTATTGCATTGGGTGCCCATAGCTGTATATTGTGTTCGGTAACAGTAACAGCACTGAGCCTAAGATTTTGATTCTTTGAAATGTCCCATCTCCACCCGGGACTTCAGCTGCTGCCCCTGTACAGTAACTTAAACAAACCCTATGTTAGATAAATTTCATGATAGGCCGTGAATCCCCTGGAAATCTGAATGTACCTTAATGGTAGAGGAGTCAGAGTTGCCTCTGAGTGACATAGAAGGGTCATAAGAACAAGAGAGGAGCCATATAATTTTGAGGGGAAATGTCTTGAGTTTACTTAAGGGAGTCTGAGGTGGGGTGTCTCAGCATTGGCTCACACTGCCTGTGGGGAAGCAGGGCTGCCCTGACGGTGGGTAAGAGCTGAGCTCTCTTCTTCCCCTGGACCAGGATGCTGCTGAGGAGTCCTGTGCACTCATCTGTCAAGTCTTCCAGATCATCTATGGGGACCAGAGCATCGAGTGTGTAGACCGGGCCGGCTACCACTACAGACCCACGCCTAAGCGGCCATGGCTCTCCAGCTGCAGTGAGTATCCAAACTCACACAAAGTAGCGGGAAGGCTGGATATCCTGAGTCAGGGCTGATAAAGGCTGTTAGGGGTTCTGAGATGTTCCCCTGTTCTAGGGGTCCACTTAAGAACGTCCATCTTCATGATGACCTCTTAAGAGATGATCAGGTTGTTGTCAAGTTTGGGATGAGTTTGAACTTGGGCACCTGAAACTTCTCACTTGTTTTGGGTGTGCCTGCTTTGCAGAAGTTCAGCTCGCGCATTGTGGGCTAACTGAGCCATCTCACTGCAGCTCGTGTGTTGTCTGCTGAATAACTGAGCCGTCTCACTCCATGAGGCTCTTAGATTGTCATGTCTGAATTAGTCCATGTATGCAATCAAGGACTAGAACAAAAGTGAGACTAACAGGGGCATTCATTGAGTGCCAATGATGTGCCAAGCACACGAGCAAGGTGCCAAGTCTTCTTGAATCTTCATAGCAACCTACTTGCCTCATTCACCTAGCACAGGACTGAACACACCACAGAGATAGACAGGTAGTCTTTGGATAAATGAAAACTACTCAGATCCTGGGCTGGTGAGATGGCTCAGTGGGGAAAGGTGCCTGCTGCCAAGCTTGACAACCTGAGTTCAATCCTCAGGACTACAGGCTGGAAGGAGAAACTGAGTCCCGAATGTTGTCCTCTGATCTCTACATGGGCACCATGGCATATACAAACTCAAGTCCAATAATATATATACAAAAATATATAATTTTGTGTAATTAAAAAATAAAAACTTCTCAGAGCTAGACATAATGGCATATGCCAATAGTCCCCAGCTCTTGGTAAAATAAGGAGCAGAGTTTAAGGTCAACTTGAGCTACAGTGAAGAAACCTTATCTCAAAAAAGAGAAGGATCTAGGTATGGTGGTGGTACACATCTCTAATCTCAGCACTTGGGAGGCAGAGGCAGGCAGACATCGATGCATTCAAGGCCAGCCTGGTCTACATAGCAAGTTCCAGGCTAGCTAGGACAACATAGTGAGACCCTGTCTCGAAAGGAAAAAGGGGCGAGGAGCCTTTCTGAGGCCCTGTGGATCCAGTTTTACAATTAAAAAAACATTGACTGTCAGAGTAGTCAATGGATTTTCACAGGTCACACAGTTGGTCAGAGTCAGAATCTAAACCCAATCTGTCTAGCTCCAAAGCTTCTATCTGCAACAGCCTCTCTGTGGGCTATCCTTGAGGCCACTGAGTGAATTCTCCTCTCTGCAGCCTGATCTAGGGTGGTCTCTGTTTGCACAGCTCCAGCAGCTGGGGCGCTGGCCTTCTGAAGACCCTCCTACCTGCAGCTGTGCCTGCTGGGAAACTGGGCTAACTCATCAGATCCCATGTGGAGGAATGAGAGCGCGTATCTGGTAGTCGACGGGTGCTTTCATTCAACAGACATTTACCAAGCACGACTGTCTCGGGCCCAGTTGTAATCTGCAAGAGGTAGTGATGGTGGGCAAACTGAGACATGGCCCTGCCTTCCTGTACCTTGCATGGGATAGTCACAGAGATAAATGTCTAACCACAGACAGTGTTGTGAGAACCTGTAATGAGGAACTGGCCTCTGAGAAGTCAGGGTGACCAAGTGACCCCGAGTGAGCTGAGATGCAAAGCCATGCGTGGGCAGATGAGGAGCAGACTGAGGAGGAGGCAGTCTCCACAAATAATGCTCCTTTTCTTTCAGGCTCCCAAGCCTGTCCCCCTTGCAGGACTCACCTAAACACACACTTGCCAACACTTCCCCATTGGCTCTCATCTGCCTCCCTGTATCCCAGCAAACAGGCAGATGCTAAGAGGATGAGTGAGGTCAGTTGCCCACGGTTGACTCTATGTTGGGACTGGACCAGAGCTAGATCCCAGGGTGCCACTAAGGTTGGGGCTTCGGAGAACCTAAGCTATTGGTCCCTGCACATCACTCTGACACTTCTTCTGTCTGTGGTTCCAGGTGAGAGCTGTCGCACAGATGGGACGTTTGCCTACGACGCCGACTTGAGCTGCTGCAGCTCCTTGTAGGTATCGCCTTTGTCGGGGATGCCCCTACCCAAACAGGGCCACTCCTCTAGTGTGCAGGGGGGAAAGGGACCGAACCCTGATTTGTGTGAGGGGTAGGAGGTTAGCAGAGCTCCAGATAGACCCTGAGAGACCTAGAGATGCCGGAACTCAGATCTGGGTTCCACAGAGGTCTTCAGGTTTAGTGACCTGCAGAGTCCAAAGTTACAGCTAATGCTGGAAACAACATTGGTTTACTTTAGTGTTGGCTCTGTATAATAGAAAACCCTAAGGAGGGTAGGCTTGCAATGACATAAACTGTAACAAGAGTTCAGAGCTTCCTGGTCCTCTGGGCCCCAGCCTGTCTTCTGGTTACAGCTTCCTCTTCACCATCCTCAGAGTGACCTCATGGTCTAAACTGTAGCTGCAGCCATGCAACAGCGCACCAAGAGCCTCTATAGGGAGGATGGAGGCCAGGAAGTACTTCAGCGTCACCATGCATACTTAGCATAGCAAAAATCCTGGGCTCCATCCTAGCAACTCACAAACACACGCACACACACACACACACACACACACACACACACACACACACGTCCCATCTAGCTTACACTTTAGTAATTGGAACTTGGCTGCTTGGTCAGAACTAGCTGTAAGCAAGAGTGGAAAATGGAGGCTAAAATAGCATTCTGGGTACCGAGGTTGTAGCTCGTAGCTCGGTTGGTAGAGTACTCCTTCCCTAGCTATGCACAAAGCCCTGGTTCAACCCCTAACACTATACGAAATGATGCACACCTGTAGCCTCTGCGCTGGGAAGGTGGAAGCAAGAGAACCAGAAGTTCAAGGTCACCCTGGCTACAAAGTGAGTTCCAGACCAACCTGGGATACATGAAGCCTGACTCAAAAAAAAATTTTTTTTAAGAATTCTGTTAAGAATATTGCCCATCCCAGTTTGCTCAGGATTAAGGAGTTTCCCAAGATATGGGATTTTAAGTTTAAATCTAATAAAGTCCCGATCAGACCTATAGTAATAAGTCCTGTTATTAAGGACTCTGGTGTTGGCAAGTAATATGCCCTGTCCCCACTGTTGTTATTATTGGCACTACATTTGCCTTCCTATGCCTGTGTGTGCATAGGCTAGTCCATAACAAACATGAATTGGCCGAGGAGAGCAAAATCACACAATGACATACTTGCTGAGCTGGCTGTATGCTGAAAAGCATGTCATTGGCTTTTGTTGGCAGCTATGTGGCTGGTTATCTATCACAAAGGACATAAGACCTGAAGTGCTTTGCAAATATTAGTTCCTGCCACTTTCACAGTGACACCAATTTTCATCATCCCATTTTACAGATGGAAAAGCTGAGGTTTAGGGAAACAGAGTTTAGCGTTGCAAGGGTCAAACAGACCACAAACTGCATAGACCTGGGCTGTGAGCACAAGTAGGCTGGGGTGTGACCTCAGAAGTCTACACCCTTGCAGGGTCTCTAGTTCCAGCATTTAGGAGGTGGAAGCCAGAGGATGAGAAGTTTGAAACCCACTTCAGTTACATAATGAATTTGAGGCTAACCTGGGCAGCATGAGATCATAAACAAACAAACAAACAAACAAAAAACAACAAAAAAAGCAAAAAGAGTACACACTCTTGGCCAGGAAGCTGTATTGTCCTGTAGATAATAATAGAAAGTGATTCTGAAACAAGTTAAAAACAAAGCGAGGCAGGAGCCCAGCGTGAACATCCTATTTTAAAAGCAGTTGATAAAGAGAACTTCCCACGAGGGGTCGGAGGTGCACCTGAGTTGAGAGACTGTTTGCCTAGCACATCAGAAGCCCTGGTTCCAACCCCCATCACAGCATAAACCTGGCTTGGTAGCTCATGCCTGCAACCCCAGTACTTAGGAGGTGGAAGCAGGAGGATCAAAGGTCCAAGGCTAATCTCAGCTGCACAGAGAGTTTACGGCCAGTCGAGGTCATGTGTGACCCTGTCAAAAACAAAACAAAACCCTTCACGATGATCCAAGCAGCCTGGTTTACAGAAAGGACTCCAGGAGGAGAAAGCAAGGGCCATACAATTTAGGACAGGAGGCAACCTGCATTCAAGAGCAGCTTCCTGGGTTATGGGAGAGTCAGAACCGGGCCTTACTGAGGAACCAGGAGGGCTTCCCAGAACTGGTGATAGTTGAGCTGGGAACAAAAAGGACAGGGCATTCACACAGAGAATTAGCCACACAGAAACAGCAAGGATTCAGAACACACTCTTAGGGGATCTGTGACTGTAACATGAGCTGTGAGAAAGTGGGGAGGAGAGAGGATTCTAGGCACAGGGAACAGCATGAGCAAAGGCCCCAGATGGGTTAAGGAAGGCAGTATGACCAGAGTTCTGAGAGCAGGGGAGAGCTTCAACGATTCTGGGCCTCATGAAGGGTCTTGGAGGGCAAGATGAGATCTAGGAAGGGGCCTTGAGCCCTGGTATATAGGCCCAACCAACTTTAACCTGCCCCAGGGAAAGGAACAGAGGTTGGTGAGGGTCTATTCCTCCTGTCTCTGCAGCAATGGCTCCCAGGACACATTTGAAGCATGTTACAGCGGCGCATCCACACCGTCTTTCCACGGCTCCCACTGCAGCAGTACCGACCACAGCAGCTGGGCCTTCGAGCAGCTGCAGGATTACATGGTCACGGTGAGTGGGGCGGCAGTGCTCTGCATATGCATGGTGCGTTGCAGGAATCGTCTGTGAGCTTGCAGAGGCCAGGGAGGGAGGTGTGGTTAGGAGAGGCAGGCTTAGAAAAGCCTTGACTGGCATTAGCCAGCACAGAATGCTCCAAGCACATTTTTTTTTTTGTGCATTTTTGTCTTTGATCTTTTTTTTTTTTTTTTGATTTTTCGAGACAGGGTTTCTCCGTAGCTTTTGGTTCCTGTCCTGGAACTAGCTCTTGTAGACCAGGCTGGCCTCGAACTCACAGAGATCCGCCTGCCTCTGCCTCCCGAGTGCTGGGATTAAAGGCGTGCGCCACCATCGCCCGGCTGTCTTTGATCTTTTTGACAACCCCAAGTGGCCGGGTGGGGGTGGGGGACTCCCTCCTTACCCTAAGTGTAGAGGAAGAAAGCAAGAGTCAGACCACAGAGATGGTCACTAAAGGATTGGGGCTCGGGAAGCTGGATACACATCCCATTTCTAGATGCAAAGGACCAGATGTTCTGTCAGTAGGGGCAGACTAGACCAGGCAGGCTGTCAGAGAGAACTCCAGCATTTTCAGCAGGAGTTGAGTATTGTTGTGCTCTGGGACTGGTCTCCAAGGGTGCCCCTTACTCCCACAGCTGCGGAGTAAGCTGGGTCCCCCTGAGATCCAGCAGTTTGCAATTCTGCTCCGAGACTATCGCCTGGGGCTGCCTATCCAGGACTTCTGTGCAGGGCTGCAGAAACTCTACGGGGACCGACGGAAGTTCCTTCTCATTGGTAAGTCCCAGCACCCCTTGGCTCCAGGCATCCCTCGCCCAGCACCACCTGGGAGGGCTTTGTTCTTCCAGCTCCTAAGGCCAAGACCTTGAGACCCTGGGACAGAGAAGGAGAGCAAGAGTATTGACAAGGAAAAGGAATTTCGGAGAAACAGCTGACATGAACAAGGCTAGCCTAGGGTAGCAAAGCTGGGTCAGGTTGTGACCACATGTGCACGTGCGCGTACACACAAACACACACAGACAGCCTGTGTGGGCTCAGCCTCAGAGAGGCAAAGGAAGTTGTCTAAAGTCACACAGCTAGTGGAGGGGGTTCATAAGCACCACAGGAATAATTTTGGCAGCAGACAAGATGTGTTTGGCAGTTATCATGAGCCAAGCATAGACTGTCCCCACTTCTTACTTTGTGCCCATTTTCATGAGAAGAAACTGAGGCTTAGAGTAGCAAAGTAAAGGAAGAAAATCAAAGAGCTAGAAAGGGCCAGGAGCAAAACCAATGTCTATGGGCCTCAACATGGGAAGTAACTGTTGTTACATTTGCACCAAAACAGGTAAAAATATCTGTTTTTACAGGTGAGGAAAGTGAGGCTTGAGTTAGTTATTTAACAAAGGCTGTGTAGCGACGAAGTGGGAATGTAACTCTAGGATTATACTAAACTAGCCAACATGTGGGGAGTCTTGGGTCATTTACTGTTTCATGAGGTTAAAAAAATAATCCTAGGTAAAGCCACACTGGCAGAGACAGGATTTGAACTCAGTCTTCCAGAGAGGGACACTCCACAGGCTAGCTGAATGAGGGAATCACCTTGCCTTGTGTCTTGTAGGGATGCGGCCCTTTATTCCGGACCAGGACATTGGCTACTTCGAGAGCTTCCTAGAGAGTGTGGGCATCCGCGAGGGTGGCATCCTCACCGACAGCTTCGGCCGCATCAAGCGCAGCATGAGCTCCACATCAGCCTCTGCGGTGCGCAGCTACGACGGCGCAGCCCAGCGGCCCGAGGCACAGACCTTCCACCAGCTGCTGGCGGACATTACACACGATATTGAGGCTCTGGCCCCCGACGACGATGATGTCTACGAGGATGTCTCCCCAAGTGGGGGCGACCAGGGTGAAGACAACTACCTGTAGCCCTGCTGCCCGCCTCAGCTCTTGCACACTTGCTTGTGGGACACCCTCCTGCGAGTGCCTAGATATCCTGGATTCCCATCTGTGCCTTCTAGGCTACTGTTCCCGCAGATGGATTTCCAGGGCTTAAATTTCTGCAATACTGAGAAAGTCCTGCAGGTGGCTTTGCTCTAGGGAGAGCCAGACCCCTAGAGTTCTCTGCAGGATGAAGAATCGCTCCTCCTACTGGCCGACAGAAAAGATTTCCAATTCAAGCCCCCGCTCTCTGCAACCTCAAACCAGGACCATTTCCAGAGCCCAGAGACATCTCTTCGATTTTACAAACCGAGAAACTGAGAAGCTTTTTGTTGTTGTAGTCTGGGTTTTTTTTTTTTAACTTTTCTTTTTAAGGAATGGATATGAGGGAATGCCCCTGTTCTCGGATATCGCTATCCATTTCCATATCTATACAATAATTTCCATTTCACTCTCCTCACAGGTGGTCATGGGGATGAATGGAGGTCAAGACCTCAATGTTTAGGTCAAGACCTTAGCCTAGCATGCAGAGGCCCAATAAATGTTGTTTCCTTCCACTTGGAATGTTTTCTGACTCAGTTTCTCTATCCTTCCTGGGAGCAGTGGGTGGAATGAGGTATCACAAAGACTGAAGGAGTTTCTAGCTTGAAGACAAAACAGGACTGGCCTTCGCAGTGGTCTCATAGCCTGGCCCTGTGCCCAAGTCCCAAACACACACTCAGGACTCTGCAGATGCTTGCCCTGGAGCTGGGCAAGACAAAGAACTGTGCAAGCAGGCTCCGCTGTGAGCTATGGAGATTAAGACAAGGCCAGCCCTTGGCACATTCTGAGTGAGGACAGGGAGCCTTGAGAGGGGGCCAGATACTTCAAGAAGAGATGAAAACGTGTCTGCAAAACCTCGCAAAGCCTTCCATGGCCAAATTCAAATCATGTGCTCCCTGGGACTGTGCTCCAGATTCCCTCTGGGTTTGTGGCCGGTTCATGCAAGGCTCTCTTGATATTCTGCTCCATCCCTTCCCGTCCACATTCTTCTCCACACCACAAGCCCCATCCCTACAGTCAAAACTCATCCCTGTCCATAAAATGCACAATGCTGTGCCAGGAAGATTGCACCGTGAGCAAAGCCCCTACCTCGAAAGTATGATGACCTGAGTTCAGATCTCTAGCACCCATGTAAAAAGCCAGTGTGGCCCCCTATGTCTTTAACTCTAGCTGGGGTTGCTGGTGCAGAGAGTAGCCACTAATCAGTACGTATAGGTGAGAGACCCTCAACTTATAAAGAGCACTTTCTGCATAAACATGGCTACTTGAATTCCAGGCACAGAACCCATATAAAGGTGGAAGAAGGAAACCACCCACTCAGAGCTGTCTTCCGACCTCCACACATGCGCATGGTGGCGTCCTCACCACCGCCCTGCACAGACACATGCACAGACACTAATGATAATCATTTTTGGTTAAAAAAGACCCTTTCTTACCGGGTAAGGCAGAGAGAGACTGAAGAAGACACTCAGCACTGACCTCTGATCTCCATCTGCATGCAAGTGGATATACATACACACACACACACACACACACACAGACACAGTGCAATGCTGTGTGCACATGAACACAGCCTAAGTGACATTGGTATGGGTTCTAACTCCTCGGCTTCTATTCATAAAGTTTGTAATTTGGGTTGGATGGTCAGTGTGTGGTATTTTGTTTTGTTCTTGTATTTTTTTGGTGGGATCGTATTGTGTCACCAAGGCTGCAGCCAACTCAAGATCCCCCTGCCTATGTCACTTGAGCGCCTGAATAACAGGCGTACGGCGCCATGCCTAGCCCACTCTGTAGTGATTTTAAGACCCAAACATATTCTTATGGGAAAATCTAGCTGATTGCATTCAACAGCTGCTAGATATTCCAAGTTAATCACTCCCTCTATTTCTCCATTCCCCGGACGATGGCCCCCAGTTTCCTTTCAACCTCTCATACTACAAACACTGCCATGATGAACATCTCTGTAGTCGACCCTTGTGGACTCACGTGATGATTCCTTTGAGCTCTGCCAGGAGTGAAATTAGTAGATCCCAGACGTATGTGTTTAAATTTCACAAAACCCTTCCAAAATAGCCTAGCCATAGCTTTCAAACAATGCTTTTGCCTTGTGCAATCATCTGTTTCCTTATAATGCCTGACTGTAATTGTTCTCTATCAATTTGGATGTGGCAACTAAACAGGATTCAGCCTCAAAATAAAAAAGCCTAAGAATACTGGTGCTGTAGGAATTCCTACAGCCAGTAGCCTTTAAGTTACACGCCCACTTGGGCGTGGCCTCTTCGCTCCCTCTCTCTTCCAGCTGTGGGATTGCGTTGCTGTTCCCACCTGCGGGATTGGTTGTTGTTCTCTGTTCAAGCAGAGGACTGTGATCTGTGAGTCTACCCCTAAATAAATAATCCTTTATTATACTCAATTCTGAGCTAGTGTGGGATTTCTTTTTAGCGGCCATCTTCATCTGACATCCACTTGGATCTGAACTTCACACCTACCAGGTGGACCAGTCTAAAAGGCCTAAACAGTCCACAGCCCAGAAGGTATCCTACCCCCACCTTCTTGGCTTGCTTTCACCTACTAAGTGATTTTTTGTAAAACCCCCACCACAGCGGAGCTAAGTGCACACTGCAACTTGGAAATTTCCCAAGCTCACGCACATGTCCCCCTCCCCACTGCCATGTTCCCTGCCACACGGATCTGCCAGGTCCTCTAGCACGAGGTAATGCAGAAATTGATCAATTACTGATTGGTAGTGTGTTGAAGGCCTCAGAATTCACAAGAAACATTATGTAAATAGCCAAGTTTTAAAGAAAGTGCTTTCTATTACATGGCAACAAGCTAAGGAGATTATAAAGAGATGTCCTACTTGCTCTTTTTATAACCAAACACTGCTACCTGCAGGGAGTAACCCAAAGGGTACTCAAAGAAATGAAATCTGACAGATGGGTGTGTTCCACTTTGCAGAATTTGGAAAATTAAAATGTGTACACCACACGATTGACACTCATTCAGGTTTTCAATGGGCAACTGCTTTGAGCTCAGAAAAGGCTGATTCAGTAACCACACATTTATTAGAAGTTATGGCCATCATGGGTATACCTGCACAAATAAAGACAGATAATGGTCCAGCATATGTCTCTAAGAAAATGAAACCGTTTTTTGTTTATTATAATATAAAGCATATTACAGGTATACCAAACAATCCTACAGGTCAAGCAGTTATAGAAAGATTAAACTGGAATATAAAGGATATGTTAAACAAACATAAAGGGATGGAAAATACCCCCAGAAATAGATTACATAATGCTTTACTAGCCTTGAATTTTCCTAACGCTAATGAGAAAGGAACAATAGAAGCAGAGAGACATTGGATAATAGAAAAATCTTCTGAATTAAATCAGCTAGTGTTTTTCAAGGATGTGTTGACCTCACAATGAAAACCAGGAGATGTGCTACATTGGGGAAGGGGTTTTGCTCTTGTTTCAACAGGAGAAGAAAAGTTTGGATACCATCAAAATTAATAAAGATTTGGCTTGAAAAAGAAAAATCTCTTGAGAAAGAGAAATGATGGCTCATCCACAATGGTGACAACCAATCAGGTGGTAAGGAAACCTCATAAGGGTTTAAGCAAGGTTCTGTTCTTGTCTTTGCAAGAAAATACTCATCTTCAGAAAGTCAAGAGACCCTGGACATCTAGAGGCCTAAAGAGGAAAAGATAGTTATCCAGATAGGATCACCAAGCAAAGAGAATTATGACTTATGAGGACAGGTCATCTGATGTCCTCAAGCTCTAAACATAAACTAGAATAATAGTCATGACTCACTTAAAAATCAAAGCCAGCTTTGGAGTTGGACAATGGTTCTGTCCTTCTCTAAGCTCAAGCATATTGTTAAAATAAAAATTCAGAGTTTCTGTCTCATGTCAGGAGTCATGGGACAGAAAGAAGAAAGAATTTAGAAAAAAAAATTTACTTTTCTTTATGCCTATTTTTGTCTCTATTGTACCTTTCATTGAATATATGTCTATATAAATAATGTTTAAGTTTTCCACAATGAACAATAAATTTTTCTGCAGAAATCTTTGAAGTTTCCAGGAAGAAGATGGGGCCCCACAACAACAACTTCACCTGGTTGATATGACATCATGATGCTGATGGCGCTACTATAAGACCTGTTTAGATACCAGCTGCTCAAGATGGTTCCAACTTGGTTAGCTGATATGGTCCACTTTTTTACAACGGCCTGGCCAGAACTCCAAATTGGAACCTCAGAAAAACCCTACCGAATACTCAGAGACTATTTGCATTTACACCAGACAATAATCTTGAAACTTAACCGTCATTTTACTTTCATAGTATTGCATAGAAAGAACATCGCCCCCATGACAGCTGAAAGTAATTCTAGAAGACAGTGCCCCCTCTCCCAACAAAGTTTGTCTTCAGGGTTAGGGACATCAATTAGGGGTTGATTATAATTGGTATAAGGTTGGGAATTGGGGGGAAATTATGTAGGCTCAGGGATCTCTTTGAAAAAAAAGGAAATGTTTGGGATAATAGATTAGTGTGACCTTACTCACACTAATAATAATAGTGAGTAATAGAGTGAATACTTGTGAGCTATTATTTATGGGCAATTTACATTGGCATAGATTCTTGTATATTGATACAAACTTAAATTATATTGAATATGTTCCTATTTTCATCTACAATATTTGTATACCTAGGCAAAGTTATTTTGTCATATTGTATGCATGCATGTTTCTACCTCTGCTTAAGACATTTTGTATATTGATACAATTTTAGGATATATTTATCATATTGCAATATACATTTCTACCTCTGATCAAGATACTTATACATTGTTTACATTTTGAGGTCATTGTCCTCATTTGTTGCACAGTTGTGTAAAGATTGTTTAATATTCTAATATGAAGTCTTAGTCTTTAACTTATATAGGTATTAAGAATTATAGGTCAATAGTCATCCATGTTTGTCACACTTATAGTTAGAAATCAGGTTCTTTAGATACATAGACATTGTATTCTGCATAGATAGTGTACTCTTCAACTGCTTCAAAGAGCTGTAGAATATGGCATTTAAATAACAGGGTTCTGTTGATGTGAGACATGATTGCTCCTGGCAGTACCCATCTATTCCTGAGAGAATGTTGAGCACCGAAGACATTCCACTTGGAACTTGTTTTCTCCTTGGCAAAACTGGCCTTTGGGCAACAAACTGCCCATACACTAACCACTGACAAAATGCACAATGTCTGGACAGGACAAACAAGATACAAGAAAAAAGACTGTCCAACCTTGCCAAGACAGGGTAAGATGGCTTTGAAAAATTTCCTGCCTCTGAAAATGGTCTGTCAGTTACTCTACGCCTTAGCCAAAGTTGGTTGCTCAAACATTGCAAATGAGACTATGGGTGATTGCCCAGGTAGCCAGTTGTCTCTGTCATTTGTTGCACATTTTGAAAGTTGCTTGATTGCACTTCCTGCTTACTCAAGTAATATTATTTCCCTTCTCGGGTCTTCAATGGGGTTGAAGACTAGCTAGTTGTAGT